CCCAATCTCCAGGCCTTTCGCAAGGCAGAGGTGGGCAAGCCTCCTGCTGGGAGCAGCACGGAGAAGGGCGGGAACGGGGGGGGGGAGGCTTTGGCATCAGTTCGGCCCCCACGGGGAAGCAGCCCCCCCTACAGGACAGAAGCCCAGCCCTTCCAGGCGCTTTGGAGACACGCCCCCTCGAAGAGTCCTGCCAGCATTCTCTCTCAGCTGAGTCAGTGTGAGCCAGCTCACAGTTTTTTAGCCTCTGGCTCACGCATTTTTGTCTCAGCTCAGGAAGGAGTGCTCCAGAGCAAACTGATTAATGCAGTAGACAAATCGCTCTCCCACAACTTTGACGCCAGTAGCTGACAAAGTAGGATTTCTGCTCACAAGACTCCACAGCTGAGAGGGAGCATCCGGACTCCTGGCTGCAGCTCTGGGCTGCACAGCGGAAAACACACCCAGATCCAGGGGGTGGGTCTTGGAGCCACTGGGGTCTGACAGGACGAGAAAAGGGGCACGCAAGCCCCTGGCCAGCCTCCTGGCCCCGCCCGGCACCTGGTAGCAGAAGCTTGTCCTGCCTGGCCCTCTCCAGGGCTTGCTCCGGTCCGATGCTTCCCTCCGGCACCGGGCTTGGGGGTCTTCCTCCCAGGCCAGAGGACAGCAGCTGCCTGTCTTGGAAGCCTTGCCATGGGCAGCGTAGGGCGCGGTGATCATCAGAACACACACACTTATGGTGTCTGTGCGTGAAAACGTTGCGGGACTGGAGAGGTTCACATTCCTGGAGGATTTTTGTCATATTCTGGGCCTGGAACAGGGGTCACTGTGGGTCTGGAGGGGGAGGTAGTTGTGAATTCCCTGCCTTGTGCAGGGGGTTGGACTAGATGAACCTGGAGATCCCTTCCAACTCTATGGTTCTATGATCTCAGCTACCTTTTTCTTGTTAACCACATGCATGTTTGTGTGTGCGGGGGAGTCTCTCCTGCCTGTGGTCTGCCCAGAGAAGGCCCCAGCCCTGCTTGACTTCAGGAAGGGGCTGGCTCACGTGCCCTGGGCACAGCAGCAGCAGCAGAGAGCCCCACGGCCAACAGCCAGAGCTCCTGATGCCCAGCTCCTGGAAGCAACTGCTGTTCAGGTTGCCAACAGGGAGGGAGGAAGGGAGGCCCCCCCCTCCCCCCCCGCCCACTCCAACCCCCCACCCCCGTGCACCGTGGGTGAGATGACTGCTGGCATTTGCAAGAAGCTCCGGGGGAGGGAGAGGAAGTGCCCGGTTGCTGTGCTTCTCTGGGACTCTGGCTCGGAATGGAGCTCCTTCCCGGGGAGAAATAGCAGAGCGGAGGGTCACGTCTCTGTCCCTTGCCCAGCGGGCCCTGCAGAGGGAAAGGGAGGCGCCCTACCGGTCAGGACTCCACCGCGGATGCATGGGGGGCTCACGGGCACGGGCCTTCCCTTCCTCCCCACCAGGTCTTCCCCCCACCTGTGAGCATGGCCAACAAAGGTCCCTCCTTTGGCCTGAGCCGAGACGTCCAGGCCAAGATCGAGAAGAAATACGACGACGAGCTGGAGGAGCGGCTGGTGGAGTGGGTCGTGGCCCAGTGTGGGACGGACGTGGGGCGCCCCGACCGTGGCAGGCTGGGCTTCCAGGTCTGGCTGAAGAATGGCATCGTAAGTGTGGGACAGCGCCCGCCTTGGCACCCAGACCTTAGCCCCCCAGCCCCACTTTCAGGACGTGCGCAGGGGAAGCACCGGTCCACTTACGGCCTGCCTTTCCGCTCGGAGCACACGCAGAGGGTCCCCTTCCCCTGATCCACACACAGTTCCTTGAATAAACTAAAACGGACAAACTGAAGCATCTGTTTACTGATGACTGAGAGGAGGCACAGTTCCCAAAACAGGCTGAGAGATACAGGCTAATGCAGGTACAGGTGCTGTTAGCAAACTGGAAAACTAACCAAAACCTGGGTCCCTAAACTTCCAGACTTTCCTGGGGCAGACACCAGCGGCCCCAGACTGTAAGGTCAGCCCCTGACAGGGGGTCCAGCTGTGCTCCAGCGGTCTGTGCAGGGGGTTAGGGTGGCTGGCTTCTTGTAGAGCAGGGTCACTCCACTACCTCCAAAGTGCAGGGTAGCCCTAAGCTAACACAACAAGGTCTGGCTTGTTCAACACCCCTGCCTGACTGCCGGCCATCTGGGCTTCTGAGCAGCTAAGCCCCTTTGCCAACTGCAGCCCTTGGCTGACCGGTGGATCCCGCTGGCAGGTCCTGGGCAAGCTCATCAACAGCCTCCACCCCTCCGGCTCAAAGCCCGTGAAGATCCCGGATCCTCCCCCCACCATGGTCTTCAAGCAGATGGAGCAGATCGCTCAGTTCCTGAAGGCGGCCGAGGACTACGGGGTGGTGAAGACTGACGTCTTCCAGACAGTCGACCTCTTTGAAGGTGTGGGGGGGGTGGGGTGGAGGGAATGGGATGGAAGGCTCCAGGAGAGGCAGGGGGCCCTTACCTGGCACCTCAGGTTGCCCTGCCCCCAACCTTCCAGGCTGCTGTTATCTTTGTGCTGCTGCCTTCACAACCACCCTGCGGAGTACACCACTGTGACTCCCACTTTAGGCAGTGGCTTGAGCCACAGAGAATTCGCCTGCAAGGCTATGCAGCAGTCAAGTGGGAGCGGGGCTCTGACCGGGAAGCTCTGCAGGGTCGGCCCTGGTTGGTGTTTGGACGGGAGAGCCCCGAGGGAGTCCAGGATGTGCTGCACAGAGGCAGGCGGTGGGAAAGCACCTCTGTTGGTTTCTTGCCTTGACCCGGATGGCCCAGGCCACGCCAGTCTCCTCCGATCTAGGAAGCTGAGCAGGACTGGCCCGGGTGACTCTTCGGAGGGGAGACCCCCGAGGAAGCCCCGGCAGCCACGGAAGGGTCGTGACCAGTGTTCCCTCTAAGCCGAGTCGGTGTGAGCTAGCTTACAGTTTTTTAGCCTCCGGCGCACACATTTTTGTCTCAGCTCAGGAAGGAGGGGCTCGGGAGCAAACTCACTGATGCAGCAGCCAAAGCGCTCGCTCAGGTTAAGGCCAGCAGCTCACGAAGTAGGATTTTTGCTCACCAGACTCCACGGCTTAGAGGGAGCCTTGGTCGTGACCTGCTGCCGGCCGGAGATGGAGGGCCTGGCCCCCTGCTGGAGGGAGGCTCGTGGGTCCTTCCCCTGCTGCAACTCTCTCCTTTCCTCTTGGCCTCCAGCTAAGGACATGGCCGCTGTTCAGAGGACGCTGGTAGCCTTGGGCAGCATCGCTGTGACCAAGGACGACGGCAACTATCGGGGAGACCCCTCCTGGTTCATGAAGTAAGTCGCCTCCGAGCCCTGTGGGGAGGGGCAACGGGAGCTGGGCAAACGTGGGCACCAAACCCCCACAGTTCACGGGACCTCTGTCCAGGCAGGCCCCAGCCAATGCCATCCCCCCCCCCCAGTTCTGCCCAGGGGAGGCTGTCTGAAAAGTCACCCCTTGACTGACCCTGCTTGCCTCATTATGGGCCCCAAGAGGCAGAGGTGGTGGGGATTCTATGAGTCTGGCAAGAGTCGTTTCTCTGTCTCACAAGCCTGCTGGCGGCGTCTTTCCCCCCCCCCCCCCCCCCCAGGAAAGCCCAGGAAAACAAGCGGGACTTCAGCTCCTCGCAGTTGAAGGAAGGCAAGAACGTGATTGGCCTGCAGATGGGCTCCAACCAGGGGGCCTCGCAGGCGGGCATGACCGGCTACGGGCGGCCCCGGCAGATCATCAGCTAAACGGGGCAGGCCTGGCCCTCCTGGTCCCGCGCTAAACACCCCAATGCCCCCCCCAAGGAATCCTGCCACGAGGGAAGCGCCAGCTGGGTACCCTTAACTCAGCCCATCCGCTGAGGCCGGGCCGCAAGCACAAGGAGCCCAGCGAGGCCGCCCATGGGGCCGCCCTTCTCTCTGGCTGGCTCTGGCTCCTGCCCCAGCCCCTCACCTGCCCCCCCCCC